CTAAGTGCCAATCAGGGCACAAGCTCCAGCAGCTGCCCTTGTCACAAACTGCCACTCTGTGCTGGTGATACTCTAGGTTAGGGGCGGGCAATTATTTTGGGCAATTATTTTGGGCAGAGGGCCGCTTGCTGAGTTTTGGCAAGCCACTGAGGGCCTCATGATAGGCAGGTAGGGACAAATAAATATTAATTTTCTAAAATTTTTAGGGGCCCCATGGGCCAAATAGAATGGCCTGGCAGGCTGCATTTTGCCCTGCTCTAGGTGTTCATTAGGCACAGCCAGAACTCAGTGAAGCTTTAGGAATCATCTCCCAATATTAGCCTGAACACAAAGGATGGTGTAAGGCAGCGTTTCTTAACCTGTGGGTCATGATGCATAAGTGGGTCACAAGAATATATGAAAGGGTCATGAACAAACTTTAAAAATAGATTCTCCTTTAAAAGGAGAAAAAACGTGGGAAATAGTGGCTTTTCCCTTGAGGCTGGCAGAATCCCAGCTTGCAAGGGGCTGCTTGGGGCCCCTCATGCCCTCCCCCTGTCCCACACACTGGGGCCTGGGGACAGCAGGTTGGGAGTGAGGGGCACTGGGTTGGGACTGGCCATCAATGTTTACAAGTGAGCCCTGGTCCAAAAAAGTTTGACAAGCATTGGTGGAAGGTACCAAGGGTCAGGAGTCCGCTGACTGACCACCCCCAGGCTTCTCCAACAACACTGGGACTAGCTCCAGGACACTTGGGAGAGGGGAAAGGAGAGAGCAGAAGGGCCTTTTCCATTTTTTCCTTTAAAGCATGAACTCTGTGACTAGCTCCAGCCACTTGCTGAGCCAAGCCAACTTCCACGGGGGCTCCCACAGTTTCCAGGGGAGAAAGCTCGTGGGCAGCTACGGGAGAGAAGGGAAAGCCTCGCGGCGCAGCGCCCCTCCCGCGGTCCGGGATGCACAAGGCAACAAGCGACGCGCTCGCAGATCCTGTTCTGTCCGCAGAGCCCCTGCCCGCGGGAGAGCTGTCTGCCACCCCTGCGCGGCGCACGGCCCGTCCGGTTGCAGGGCCTGGCATGCGCCTCCCGGGCCGCCCGCAGCGGGGCCGGAGGCAGAGCGCGGGGACAGGCCGCGGGAACCCCGCCAGGCCCCGGGAGGCCGGCCTGGGCCGCTGGGCCCGCGTGACCACACTCCCTGGCCGCACTCACAGCCCGTCTCCTTCTTGATCTCCTCGATCTCCTCGTCCCGCAGCAGCGTGGAGGCGCGGGAGCCCATCGCGCCCGGCAGGCCGCACGCAGCACAGGGGGCAGCTCAGCCAATTCGCAGCGGCGCAGCAAGACCCGCCGAACCGACAACCCCGGACGCTCACGAACGACTCAAGGCTTGAGCGCGCGGCGCCGGCTGTTACCGCTGCCTCTACCCCCGGCTCCGCCCACAAGTGGCGGAGCTAAAGCAGAGAAAAGTTGTCCCAGCCCCCCGGAGCAGCTGTTGCACTAGCGGGCTCTCTGACGTCATCTCGCAAAGGACCCGAACACGTCGCTCGCAGGGAGAACTACAGGTCCCAGGAGGCAACGGTGGCCCCGCACTTTCTGCAAGTGCATTGTGGGAGCTGTAGGCGCCCGGGGGAGTGGAAGATGGGCCGCGCCTGCGCACTGCGAGTGGCTGATTGCTGGAGATAGGAGTCTCGGTGGCGCCTTTGCCGCCAGTTGGGTTGAGAGCTGTCCCTAGTGTTGTGTACCGGCTGCTCTACCCAGCTCCCCTTCCCTCGCCTTTTCGCGGGCGGGAGGGGTTGTGGTGTACTCCCTCAACAGGCCGGAGGAGACCAGCCCCCGCGGGTAGCAGGTGTGCGGGGCCCGGGCATCAGGCCTCCAGCTGCTCGCCTCTCCCGGCCGCGGGGGTCTCCTACCCCCTCACAAAAGCATCGTCTGGTTCTGTTTCTGCGTCCTCTGAAGCACCGGGCGGGGCAGCTCCCGGGAACTGGCTGGGTGCACTGCTGCTCTGCCAGCTCGTAGACACCCCTCAGGGACTTGCCTGCAGAGTCTTACCCATGTGCTTATAGTCCAACTGATCAGGGCAGGGGTCAGGACGGATTTTTCTTTCAGGTCAGATTGGCAGGGACCCCAGTTTTTGTTCTTTCCCTTCTTCTGGAGCCCAGGGCATGGCCCTGCTCTTGGGACAGGCATCCTAGTGCCTGCACTAATCTAACAAGTTCCCTGTCTTTCCGCATCAAGGTGTTGACAGTGCTTCTCTCTCCCTTGTTCTTTTCCTATTGCACATTCATTATAAGGCTTGTTTTTCACAGACTGCTTTCTGGGCTGTGTGAGAGGGCCCGAAGGAGATGATCTTGCAGATGCTTTTGGACGAATGATTGCTTATGAACCCAATGGCTCCGTATATTTATGGAGCCAAAATAGCTACAGGCTGGGGAGTTCTTGCCCCCAGTCTGGTTTTGTTTGCCCGGACGCTGAGTCACCTGGCAGAGATGTTCAAATGATTATTCTACCCTATCTTTTCATGTTTCTTGTTGGACTGTCCTACAGGTGTCTGAAGAAAAAATAAATTTTTAGTGCGAGGAGTTCTACCCTGCTTTGAGCACATTTCTAGAGGAACTGGTTTGGGGATCAGCCAGGATGGATCTTAGCAGTGATTACCAATTCCTCAACGAGATTCTGGGAAGGACAATGAAAATCACCTTGAAATGTGGCCTCTTCCAGGGGGTGTTGCAGCATGTGGATTCCAACAGAAGTATTGTTCTGAGCAGAGGTGGTTCTATACTAATCTTCAAAGGAATCAAAAGAAATAATGTAGTTGTGTAGATGCTAGAGTGCATGATGTTGAAGGGGTGTCTATATTCTCTAGATCGAATGGGGTAGGGACTTGCTGGAGTGTCACATCCCATGGTAGAAGTGTGGGTCTGATGGGAGTCCTTGTCCTACATTGTAATGAGAGAGGGGTGTCTAGGAATGTCTCCCACTGGAATGGAAAAGGGGCTAAAATAGAACATTTTCTATTTTATGAGGAAGATTAGTTGCATATAATATGGCAGTTTTGCTATGCTAAAGCCAAATGGAGTGTTGTACCACTCAGATTTTTCTGCTCTTTTCTGAGGCTAAACCATGTCAGAAACTCTCACACATGCCAAACCCATGAGTGCTGCAACAAAATGACTCTTGGTCACCTCCTGCCCATATGGTTACTTTCAAGAGCTTGGTCACTGGCAAGCTTAAGGGATGTTTCAGGGGATGCCCCAAGTTAGTTTTGCTCTCACATTTCCAGATTTGGCACATGCAAGTGGTAGCAGGTGGACTAGGCATGCTCGAGAGCGTCCTCCCTAAAAGCACTGGGGGATGTGTGTGGCGGGTAACGTTAGACTAGACAGATGGAGGCTGCTGCTTGCCCAGATTCTGAATGTTCAAGGCAGAAATCTCATTTTTGCTTTTCAAGATTATTTAGACTTTTATAGTGAAATAGAAGCATAATATCTTCTCAGGATTTTTTGTTGACCAAGTTCATTTAGTGCGTGGACTACATTTCAAGAGTTAATAGGCATGGCAAAAGAGCCTAATTTACTTATGCTTGGTCAGCAATTAACCAGTTCTGTCTAACTTGAACCCGTGCCAGTCAAATTACTCAGTGGTTGACTTTCACTGATAGGTCTAAAAATAATTAAGCTTCAATCATTCAGAAACCAACTAGAACTGTCAGCTTGATACGGAACATACCTGCTGCTGAATGTACCAGGCACAGCCTAACCTTCTGTTGATTTCAGAAATATGCAGTTGACTCATAATGAAAGAACAAGCAGTAGGAAATGTAGTGAATGTAACGCTCCTATTTAATGTTAAGTTAAAAGCAAGGGACCCAATTGCGCTCTGAAGTTGGCTTGCATGGGAATAGCTAGCCTGTTCTGTCCAACAGGCAGCTTCATACAGTATCCTTCCGTAAAGTAAAAGTGAAACAAAAAAACAATAAAAAACCCATTTTAAATAGTTGATATTGTGCTTTTGCCATATGTCATTAGTAAGAACAGTTATTGTGTTTTGCCTTCAGTTTGGTGCAATTCATTCTTATCTTTGATTGTAGAAAATGATAATCCTATTTTTTTTTTTTTTTTTTGATTTTACATTATTTCAGTGAAAAACTTGGAAAATGGCAGAAGTATGCCAGGAGTAAAGATGTTTTTTGGTCATGAAATACTGAATGGTGAGAACATTCTCTTACTATGCATGAAAGATGAGTGTCTTGAATATTCTCATGCTTAATGTTTTTTTATGTTGCTGTCTATAATGTTGGTTCCTATTCAGGCTTCTTTAGTAAAGTTGCTAGAAATTTTGATTAAGTGATAAGCATGAAGCAGAAAGGCCTCACCTAGGACCTGAAACTGCCACAGACATTCCATGTGACATAGGACAAATCACTTTCAGTGCCTCAGGTGCTCATCAGTAAAAGGGGAATAATAGCATGTCTCTGTCTCTCAGCAGTACAGTGAGAGTAAATTAATTAAGAACAGCTCGCGTGCTGTGGTAATGTGGGGGCCATGTAAGTGTCTAAGATGGATAATGAATTTTAGTAAATACATTTCTTAAGGAAGTAAGTAATTGTAGTAAGAATCTTAATAAAAAGTAGGTATTTTATCATGTGGTTTAGACCCCATATTCAAGTTATGTTTATATGTATATTAAAGAAGAAAAAGCTCCCAAACAACATGGAGAGGGTCCAGAGGAGGGCCACCCGCATGATCCGGGGACAACAGGGCAGACCCTACAGTGAGAGACTGCAGGACCTGAACCTATTCAGCCTCCATAAGAGAAGGCTGAGGGGGGACCTGGTGACAGTCTATAGACTCACTAGGGGGGACCAGAAGGGTTTGGGGGAGACGCTGTTTCCCCTAGCGCCCGCTGGCATAACAAGAAGCAATGGGCACAAGTTGATGGAGAGGAGGTATAGATTGGACATCCGCAAGAACTACTTCACAGTTAGGGCGGCTAGGAGCTGGAACCAACTTCCAAGGGAAGTGGTGCTGGCCCCTACCCTGGGGGTCTTTAAGAAGAGGCTGGATGCCTACCTGGCTGGACTCATTGGAGTCCCGTTTCTCTTTTTGGGGGGTGGTTTTTTGTTGTTCTCCTGCCCTGGCGGGGGGGCGGGCTAGAAGATCTTCTAGGTCCCTTCCGACCCTTAATCTATGAATCTATGAAAACTCTGATTAGTATTTTCACAAAGGGGAAAAGGATTGCTGAGAATCATTTCATAATGTGTTTGTCTTGGGTGTTTGGTTAGCTGCTTCACTTTGTTTAGTTAATCCACTAATTTGTAGGAAGACTAGATGGGAGAGCAATATGGGGAATGCTACTGTTGCCTGTGCTTGTTTTTTCTCCTATCTCATAAAAGACAGAAAAGAGAGTGCTTGTCCTTCTAAGAAGAATTATACTAATAAGACAAGCTGTGGAGTTTAACTAACTAATATAACATGGGATGAAGTAAGCATGGGGTTACAAACATATGTGCATCTTTGATTTAGATGGTGTAGAAGGTGCATCTCTACCCTGCCTTCTGCATGGTTCAAATTAGTTTTGTTTTGCTACTACTTCCACAAATTATGCCTTTGTGTGTGTGAATATGTGAGCAGTGTGCTACTCTGAGACCCTAGACTGGGTCTGTGCCAGGGTAGCAATGTTTAGACTTTTTTTTTTTTTTTTTAATAACTCCTGGCTGTGTGGTGGAGGGGGATGTATAGAGGGAAAGGTTTGCAGGCGACACTATCAGTTTTACCTTTAGGAGCAAAGTAAGTAATAGCAAGGAGATGAAAGGCCGTCCTAATGTTGATATGATAGTTCTTTGCATATATCCTACTAGCCTGTTTTGGTTGTCGCAGTTGCAACAAAACCATCTGTAGAATTAATCCTGATGACACATTTGTGGACTTATGAGGGCCAAACTAGTTTTAGCAGAGATGCTATGACGTAGTCTGGTTTATCTTGTGTGAAGCAACTATGAAATATGTCTATACCAGTCTATGGAACTGAGAGATTGATCTGGGATCACTCTTTACAGTGAATTCCCCCTTTTCACTGTGTTATGACTGCAAGAAAATAGAGTCAGAATTTGAGTTCTGCACAACTACCAGTTGTGACTGTTTTTCAGTGTTCTGGGGATTGAGTTTAATCCCTGGTTAAAAACATGCAAAAGTCAGAGCTGTAATAAAATGTATTGCTTTGCATTTCAGTGGAACTGCTGGATGAACTGGAACAAGGGGCAGGAAGAGGAACAGAAACTCTCCCTGGGTATGTTGAAAGAGGCTTTCTTTCATGACTGGAAAAAGAATGAGCTGCTTAGTTTAGCCAACAATTGAAAAATTGGATAGCAAAGCTTATCTAAGTATTGACGTGGCAACCTCCAGATTGTGGTGTTCTGCTGTAAGGGAGAGGCAGATAAGGAGATGGGTGGGGTCCTCCACTACTGCAGAGAATCTTGCTGGCTGCTATTCCTTGTGCCATAAATGTTTTAACAAAAAACAATTTGTGTGGGTTTTTTTGCAGTTAGCTCCTGATTTTCAGGGCAGATTTTCCATAAGAATTTATTCTGTGGCTGAACTGTTGCATGGGGAAGATAGATTTACAAGCTTTGTCATATGTGGATAAACATGACTTCAAGAAACTAACACTAGTCTGGATTTATGCTTCATATTTCTTCCTTTTTTACTTTGAGGTGCATTTCTAACACCAGTGCGGTCAGATGTTTTTGTTTTTGAGTATTTCACAAGGCCCTATTTGAAACTCTTTATTTTCATTCACGGGGGAAACAGAAATTAAGTGGCTTTTACTTAATGTGCATCTAAAATGGAGTTTGCAAGGCTTTTACCATTCTTATTAGCAGTGATTGCCAATCAATACAAAAATCAATTTTTATTTTCATTAACAGATTTGTTCCTGTATTCATCAGATCTTTAAATAGAAATATTTTGATACATTATTCTGTAATGGGAGCTTGTTTACAAATATCTTAAGTCTTTCACTACTATCTTAATGTAGAAACATGTGGAGGTATCCTAGGAAAGTAGGGCTAGAAGAGACCTCATGAGGTCATCTTGTCCAGTCACCTGCTCAAGGTAGGATCACCTCTGATTGAACTATCCCAATCAAGCATTTGTCTACCCTGCTCTTGAAATCTTCCAGGGATGAAGATTCCACAGCACTAGATAGGCCTGTTCCAATGCTTGACCACCTTCATTGTCAGAAAGTACTTCCTGATCTCCAACCTAAATTTCTTCCTCTGCAGCTTGAGACCATTGCCCCTAGTCATATTCCTAACAGCTATAGAGTACAAGAAAATCTATTTCCATCCACTTTATAATTACCCTTCAGGTATTTGAAGGCTGTTATTAAATGCAGTCCCCCAGTCTTCTTTACTCCAGATTAAAAAATACTAGCTAGTTCTTTCAGTTTTCCCTCCTAAATCATGTCTCCCAGCCCTTTAATTATTTTTGTCACTCTTTGCTAGGCTCTTTCCAAACTGTCCACATCTTTCTTGAAGTGTGGAGCACAAAACTGGACACAGTACTCCAGGTGAGGTCTTATCTGTGCAACAGAGTAGAAGAATCACTTCCCTTGATTTGCAAGGAGTAGCTCTTGCAAATCAAGGGAAGTGATTCTTTCGCTCTGTGCAGCACTAGTAATACCTCATCTGGAGTACTGTGTCCAGATTGCGGGGTGGATGTATCGTGTGAATGTAATTATACCAACAGAAAGGTACTTATGTTGGTGTAATGTATCATCCATAAAATATTTCTGAACTAGCTCTATTTAAATGTTTTACCTGTAGGCTTGCAGCAGTTTCTAATGTGTATCATGTCAGTAGAATGAAGGTGGCTCATGAGCTGATTTATGGCTGTAATGTTCCAGTGTTTTTAACTTCTATTGAATTATACCAGGATTTAAAAGGGTGTAGCTGTACCCATGGTTATGGGTAGTACAGACTTACTTTGTGTAAAATCATACTCCTACTCATTTCTTTTTTTAATATTTACTAAATTTGTGTGGGGACCAGGCAGAATTTGGGTATCTCATTCTTCCTTGATGTATCTGCATTTAGACCTTCCACTCCCTTGGGCCATTTATGACCTACCTCCTCGGAAGACCACTTCTCAGCCTATGTTTTTGTCTTCTCCTTTTCTTCCTGTGCCCTACAAAATAAATATCCAGGAAAAAAAGGAATATTTTATTTAAGAGAAATCCCAGGGAAAAAGTTGATGTTTGACACACAAGCTTTCACTGCATGTGGAACAGCTTACCATATGGCTAACTGTAGCCCAGGGGTGGGCAAAACATGGCCCACCAATTGACTCTGTCCAGCCCGCAGATTAATTTTAGGTAGACCTGTATAATGTTCATTAGCATGTTAATAGTGTTATTTTGATTAAGTGTGGAAATGACATGAAGGATCCTTTATACTATAAATGCCACAACAATGTTTAAGTATAGCTATTGTTAAATACCATTCATTTTGTGTATGTGACCCTTAACAGCTCACCAAAACTCATGGTCCTCCATCCCAAATAGCTGTCCACCCCTGCTGTAGCTCATAACAAACAGTGCCTCAAAACAAAATAAACTGGGTAGTATGTTATGTCATGTATGTGGATTGTAAGAGTGTAAATAGGGTTTCTAACAGTACTGTCTTGTGCAGGGACAGTCCAGTAAATGAAGGAATTGTAATGGCTGGCAGGGAACCAGTGGAGCAAAGCAGTTCTACTTGCATTTCCCCAGAGAGCCAGGACACCACCCTGAGTAACTTCAAATATAATGTAGCAGGTAATGCTGATCTTGGGCCAGGAATGCCGATTCAGTCTTTCTGCAAGCCAGACCTGTTGTATATGTTACATGTTTTTATTTTCCAGGTTCTAGATCCTTTACATACACTTACGGCTTGTCTACACACAAACTGGGTTAAAAGAAACTGATTTTAATTCATGTCTTTGGTTATCTCACTGTAGGTCTAGTTGTGGGCACTCTTCTGTCAGAATAAGAGTGCCCTAATTGAATTGAACTTAAACTGCACTCTTTACTCTGAAAAAGGAATATGCACCAGTAGCCTTGCATGAAGACAACAAAGATATACATTAAAACCAGTTTAGTAATTTGGTATATAGATAAGCCTTTATTCCAGAAACGACAAGAAACCTTAAGCAAGCGTCTAAGTTATTGCTACTATGGTGCAAATTCCTTGGCTTATCATAAACTGAAAACAAGGTAGTGAGCTAAAATTAAAGTACAGGTGACCCTCACCATTTGCGGGGAATATGTTCTCATATCCCCTGCGAATGGTGAAATCTGCAAATAAGACACTGCGTTCATGAATGCAGTGCCCCTGGTGGCTGGGGGTCGGGCATGGCTCCGACGGCGACAGTGGGAGTGCAGCAACAGCAAGCGCGGAGATCCTGAGGAGCTCCTGTAAGTGTATAAAGTGTATTTAAAACTTGGGTTCAGCATTCACGAACATTTGAAACTGCAAATGCCGAACCTGTGAGTAGTGAGGGTTTCCTATACAGTATTCTAATGTTATAAAAATCTTAATCTGTCTGTCTGTTGTCTGCCTGTCTATCCATAATGCTTTGTTTGCACTCTGGTTGACTGACTGAAACAGCCAATCAGAGTGTGAATAAGCGTTTGGACAGGAGGTGGTGGTGTGGCAGAGCGCCGCCATGATGGCAGGGACATAGGATGAAGTGGGGTGGGGGGGCGCACGAGGCCAGCACAGCTGGCCTGGCCCTGCCTGCCCTGCTCCCTGGAGGCGGCAGCAATGGAGCAGACAGAACGGAGGGTGCAAGGCCAGCACTGCAGACCTGGCCATCCCACTCTGCCCCCTGCAGGTGGCAGTGATGGAGAGGGGAGGAGGGCAATGCCACCAGAGCTGGTCTCACCCCCCCCACCCTTGCTTCTTGGAGGTGGTGGTGGCGACACGGGGGTTTGGGGGGGCAGGGGCAGCACAGCGGGGGAGTGGGGTCACAAAGTGTGCTTTTGCTAATGCACATTAAATAAGCTCATGCTCCTCCCCCCTTCCATGGTCGCCACCTGCAGGGCCAACACGGGCTGTCGGAAGAGTGCTGACATGGGCTGATGCAGCGGTGGCGGGGGAGGAACGGGTCCAACGTGGGTTGTGGGGAGGAGTGGGTGTGCTGTGGAGGTTGGGGGGAGGGGAGGGGTGGGCCTGGGCC